TCTGACTCTGTTAGCAGAAGTCAGTCTACATCAACACCATCTAGCTATGCCCTGTCCACAATGGCAGCTGATCAAGCTGGTATGTACATGAAGAGATCTGACTCCAGTTCCAATTTATCAGCCATGTCTATTGGTTCACAGTCGTCTCAGTCTTGTAGGCAGAATAATCCACAGCAACAAAAATCAGTTCATTTTGCTGATGGTGCTTCTCAAGGTAGTCCGGATTGCAATCAGGAAAATGGACACATTCAGAATTATGGACAAGGTTATGAATCGGATTGTGCTGGATATGATCCAGAGTTTAGAGACAATGCACATAAAAATATGCAATCTAAAATCCTACCGCGATTATCAAGTGTGAAACCTGAAGTTGGACCCTACACTGTACCTGGTGGCCAACAACCACCTTCATTACAACAGTATGATCAACGTAGTAGTTGTAGTGTCTCTCAACCAGCTGTGTCTAGTCGTGGTGCTGGTAATATGCAAACCTTTGACTATAATAACGAGAAAGATTCAATGTATTATATGGACAATAATCAGAACATGATGCGTATTGAGCCCGGTGATTATTCAGGTGGAAATTATCCTGGAAGCTATCCCAATACTGGTGGTATGACTGATCAAATGAAAGCTGTGATGGCTGGACTACCAGACAACGAAATGTATAAAAACCAACCTAATGATATGTCCACATCGTCTCAACAGGGTTACAATAACAGTTGTTCTATGTCAGCTTTGAATCAAGGTGCTAACTCTATGATGCCCAATCAAATGGGTCCAAACTTTAATCAAAACTCAAACTATCCAAATAACTCACATATGATGGGATCTAGTAATGGACAATATCAAAATATGCAGTCACAACAAAGCTTTGATCAAACACCGTATCGTTCACAAATGGCTACTCCTATTTATCCTAACAATGGTCAGGCTAATATGGCTCAGGGTCAGTGGATGGGAGGAACACCACAGACTCCACAAAGTATGCAACAAATGCAACAGATGCAAATGAACAAATCTCAAATGGGAGTTCAACAGATGGGTGGTATGCCACAGGGACCAGGAGGAGCAGCAATGCCACATGCTCAAGCTATGACACCGCAGGGAGTACCTCATATGCAGCCCTGTACCCAACCTTGCACCCAACCCAACTGTACCAACTGCAAGACTGGTTCACCAAACAGACCACCAATGTTAGCTTCTCAGCAATCTTTTATACAACATCTTATTACAGATAGATCCAATGCTTTCAGATCTCATCCACTCTTCCCCTTATTACGAGATTTGATTATTGCTGATATGAACTTTAGCTCTCCAAACTTCCCTTATCAATTGATAAGCAATTTACCAGCAGATTTCGATAAATTATTACAAAACTTTCTGCAACGAAATCCACCAACAGGCAACTATCAAGGAAATTATGCAGTGGAAAGTGTTATTATGGATGCCTTGCGATATGCACACCAGTGTATCATAGGTAATTAGTAATATACTGTACATATTAATTCATGCACTACTGGTATTTAGATTTATGTGTGATGGTTATGTGCTATTAAAGGTTTTTGTATGCTAATTTTCATATTGATCAATACAGCATTTGTTCATGATTAATGTATTTATAGAAAATATTTTTAAAAAATTGCACAAACCATTTTGTGATTGTCTTATCATTTTGATTTGCTTCCTGTTTTTTTCTATGTCATTTCATAATCATTTTTTAGTTTCACATTTTTTGTATCCTATCTTTCAGAAAAAATTAGATTACGGCAAGATCAAGATAAAACTACAAAAACAACTTCCAAATCATTGAGTGCTATTGAGGAATTTTGTGAGAAGTTTGATAGAGCTGTACGTAACACTGTGGTAAGTCTTGAGCTCATTTTTTACCATAATTTTTTTCCACATCTGTATCTTATCTGTAAGCTTATACCATGATCAAAAATATCTCTTCGGATACATGTAAACTTCCACAAATATCTAAAATATCTTCATCATGATGACTTTTATTGTAGCCTGGTCAACCTAGTCCTGATCCAGTCAATCCTATGATGGTACCCCCTGGTGTTGATATGAGTGGTGTAATGGGCTGTCCACCTGGTATGCCTGGTGTACCATCTATGGGTAAAGATCCTACCAAATACATGATGGATCCAACCATGGTAAGTCAAATTTCAAAACTCCAATTAGAAATCCAGAATTAATTTTATTTCAAAAGACTTGCCAAACTGATCAATGATGAAGCAATTTTTTGGATTTTTGAAGAAAGCCAGTGTCAGTTTAACCTGCTGGTGTTAGTTCAGACTTTGCTTTTCCCAAATGATTGAAATACTTGATATTGTCAGAGTGGCAAATTACTCTCTAATGAGATGGCTCCCAGTGTTTTTTGCACTGGTTTCAACCTTGTATTGAAAGTATAGTCTGTATAATTACCAATCTGTGAACAATTTTCACATCATTTATGCCGAGTGAAATAAAAGAAAGGATAGAAATGATAGTAGTTGAATGTGACTGTGAAGCGTGTCATTGTAAGTGTAAATTATGTGTTAAGATGGTAATTAAAGTCTAATAAAGGAAAGTAATTGTGTTTACAATATGTTGACACTGCTTTAAACACTATCACACATTAGCTTAGTTGGATTTTAAAATGAGCCCCAAAAAAATTCAGTGATATTCAAACACCAACCATTTGGTAAAGACGTTTGTCATTTAAATTTTACTATGTCAATTTTACATCAGAAATCCAATGTTAACATTGCCTTAAAACATATCCTCTTGATTTACCTTTCACCTTTTAAATCTTGTCTATAATGGAGCTTGGAGATTTTTAAACAGGTTTTGCAAACTAAATAACCAGGTATAGGTTTACCTAAACTAGGTGTGGAGAGGCACACTTGAAGGTCAACTGAAGGTCACCAAGTTTTGTGCAAACTTTGCAGGATGTTTTGGGTACAGCTTTACCTATTGACATAGTTTGTAGCAATTGTTCTCTCTATTTCATTATTCAAACTTACAACATAAGTTGAGTGAAACCCTTCGTTTAAATCTTAAACTAAAATATTAGTATATCTGATGATTGACCTTGTATTTAACTATAATCCATGTATTGTTGAGTCCTGGTTACTCATGAGTTAAACATGAATACAGCTAGAATAGGAAGCTCAGCATCGTATCAAGACTAACCTTACACCTGTATGTAACAATTTTGATCTGAAAAATATCCTTTTAAATATTCACTTTCTGATGCAATACATATGTAATTATCACTCTTTAGCCTTGATTTTTTTCATAAACTGTTTAGTAACAAGGATAATTATTATACAAGTAAATTTATTGTAATTTTTTAAATAACAACTGTTGCCTTTCGAGAAATCAATTAAATTTATCCACCTATGATTTAAAGAATATTTGTGAATTATAAGTACATATAGATAAACAATGGTTTCAGAAACAAGTCAAAGCTTATATTTATGTATTATCTACCTAAGTTACCTATATAGGACTATTGATACCCTTAGTATTATAAGATTGGCATAATTTTGATAGCAAATGATCCGATTGATAAAGTCTTGTTGAACACAGTTGACTGAGTCAGAATATACCTTGGGAGTGTTTTATCATTTAATCTGTAAAAAACATCAATTATTTAGACTTTTAACAAGAAGAACAATTATTTTGTCTCGCCTGGTTGAACAAGTGAAGTAGAGAGAGAGAAATATGTAATATTTGTAACGCTTTATGAACACTTAATAAACTCGCTACATTTATAAAATATTATTTTCAATTCAGACTTCTCATTTATTTCAAAACGCCAATATTTCTACTCAATGAATTCTATCAAAAGCCACAGAAAATTATTTATTTTGAAATGTTTTTTTTTTTCATTGAATTAAATGATAATTGAAATTGCTTTCATTCATGCTGATCAGAAATTATTGTAACTTATGGCATATAATAGTTTTCTGAAATATAAACTCTATAGATCTCTGAATATAATTCTGGTCTAATTTTGGTACTGGTACCCAGAAAAAAATAGGTTCTCATTCTTTATGGCGATATATAAAAAAACATATTGTAAGGGCATCTTAAATGGAAATAATTTCATTCAAAATGTTTCTCTTATTTAGTTTTAAAGAAACGGGGCCATTTTTTTGACCAATCATACTTTAGTCTCAGAAACGGGACTTTTTTTTAGCTAAGCCAATCAGTAATAGTGTTCACACTCACCTTCGACATTTGAGCCTTCATATTCATGTATGTGCTGAATTATCTGAGTTTGAATGTTAATAGAAAAGACAAATATAGAAAAGAATTTTCGTACATTTCTAGTACTTCTGAAGACTATTTACATATAAGACTAAAATCAACCCACCAAAATGAAACATCTGTCCCTTTAAGTCTTTGATATAAGCTCGATCAATTGCTTACTGAGCTATGCTTAGTGAATATGTGATGTTTCAAGCCATGTTGATATATTGGTTCAAACCAAATGAACTAAATTGAACTTGATTACCTCGAAGTGAGTTTTAATAAAATGATAGCTGAATTCATTTTGATGTTGTATCACAAGATTATCTGAATTTAGCATACCCCTGTGAAAAATGTGTTATAATGTATATTTTGTATATTTCAGGGTCATCCTGGCTATGTGTCACCTGGTATGGGTAAAGTTATGGGTATGCATGGTATGGGACCTAGTCAATATGATATGATGAAGTCTTTATCAGATACAGCTAGTACTTACAGTAATTCTTCAGGCTTAGTCAATAAAGCAGAATCCAAGAAACATCCTAGTCTACCAAAAGAGGTAAGAATTGGCAATTCCTCAACTTGTCCACAACTTCAAGAGAAAGCTTTCTGAAAGAAGTATTTGCACAGAATAACAGTCTTAAAGATTCGAATTAAGTAATAGTTGTTTTTGTTCCAGTATTGAAGACACATATGTTGATCCCATGATTATTTCAAAATCAAGTCATTTCATTTGATTTTTTTCTATTTTTCAGGCTGTTGCTATGATGTTAGATTGGTTGAGGAATCATAAAGACAATCCGTATCCCAATGATGATGAGAAAGCTATGTTAATAAAACAAACAGGACTAACTATAAATCAAATCAATTATTGGTTCACAAACGCCAGGCGGAGAATCTTACCGAAATGGGCTCAGTGTAAATAGTTCATTGTGTCCTACTGTATAGAAACCTAGTGTTATATTATTATTCTAAAAAGTGCTCTTTATAAACCATTTTATATTAATATGGTTTGACATTCAACTAAGTGTTCATTTATAGATCAAGACAATGTTTCCCTCCATTTCTCATCTACTATGCACGGTTGATAACTGGAATTACATCATTGACAGAAGAATTTTGGTGCTCCCCGAGACATTTGTTGTTACCATAGTCAACATTTCTTGAGTTTTTTTTCTGCTCTCAAAGAGGCTGTAAATATATACTATAATGTTATTCTACTAGTTTATAGGATACTGATCAAATTGAGTCATACAGCTACACAATGACCTGCCAAAATGTGTGTGCCTTAAATTTAGAAGTGCTTGTGCTCAGTATATTTTTGCAAGACAACCTTACTAACTGCTGTAGACATTTAGTACTTTATACTAATCCAAATACCGGTTCAATATAGTCAAACTAGTGGTATATGTATAAGTGTATGTAGTTTTTGTTACCCAGCCAACGAAGAAATTATCCAGACCAAAAACACTTTAAAAAAAAATATCTACAGAGAGTAGTTTTCCACACTTCTTTTTTAGAGAACATTCCAAATAACAAATATAGACCACAATTAAATTTTCTAGATCAATGTCTCTCCCTGTTCTTTTCTTTTAGTATTTATTTATAGTAGCTTTTTTAGAAGGTCTCTTGCCAACTTTTATATATATTTTCTACTGTCTATATATATATGTACATAGACTATACTAATGCAACATTTCTATGTAGATATATGTAATAATATTATATGTAAATATTTCCCTGAACCCCTTGTGACCTGTTGTTTTTAAAATGTCAATGTCTCGTTATTAATTGTTAAATTTGTTTTCTTTTATCTTTCAATAAGCTCAGCATTGTTTGTGTGTATTCATTTATAGAATAAAAGGCCATTTAGAGAAAAGATGATTTCTTTTTCCAATTAAAATTAATGAATTGCTTTCATGATTTCATACATCAATTTTTTTTACATGTTTTTTAAAAGAAAAGAATGAACTAAAATAGGCTTAACTAAGCAATTAGCTCTACATATTAAAAAAAATCTTTAAAAAAGTAGACCTACTAAAATTAAAATTAGACAATGTACTTCCTGATAATAAGAGATAAATGATTGAGCAGATTAAAAGATGAAACAAATAACAATAGTTTTTATATTAATGTGTTTTAAAGGTACTGGCTGTAAGCTAGTCTTGTGTTGTGTTTTGTTTTTACATATCAATGTTTTATGCATGAGTAAATTAGAAGCCGCATGAACTAAAGACTAAAATTCTGTGTTTGATGAACTTTTTAACAGGAGTTCTTTTGGATGCAGTAATCATATTACTACATTAGATCTTTATGCATTTGTCATTTACTTAATAGTCTTTATTGAATTTTAAACTCTGAGAAAATATTCTGTGAATGGATTAAAGTTCATTTAAAATGTAAAAATAAAGTTTTGTCTGTCTTTTTTTTTGTTTGGAATATTTCACATATTTTCTTTCAAACATTCTACAGTAGAGTTTGGTTTATTAATTAAAAACAGTGCCTTGTTGCTGGTTATTTTGATTTAAGTCCAAATTGTAATTGTTTACTGCTGTGTTGATGGTAATATGTTAAGCTGTATTCCATCATAAGAACTAACTAATTTTAGCTACCAGTAAACTTGTACTTTATCTGGTAGTTAGTGAGATAGCTAGAAATTTATTGGATGCACAGGTGTGTAGGCAGTGTTTAATGGATAAAATTCAGACTATTTTGTACTTTCTATTACATGGAATACAGTTCACTGATGCAATCTAATTTTTGTCTATAGTCTTTATTATGGAGAAAAACTATAAAACCACTTTTATTTTTATCTATGCAGTTTTTATTATAAGCAATAAAACCTGATGTAATTGATAAGAGTAAAATTTTCACCACCAAGCAATTTACAGTTTTATGATATTCAATAAAAAGTTGTTGGAATCGTTACAGTAAAGAATTTATGCAATAACCAATCAATATTGTGAGCTTTTTTTAAATACAATGTAGTTACTATATTTGAGCTTTTAAGCTTTGAACTTTTTAAAAACCAAATAATAGTGAAATGTTTTGTCGAATTTTCAGATTTTTTGTTCCATCCAGTATATTATGGCCATTTTAGTCTTGTTTAGCTTTTTAGATTTATTTATTTTCCTTATTTTCATGGCAAACTTATAAACCTAATGGCGATCATCATAGCAATATATTGAAGCAATGTTGTTCACAATAATTCTATCTAATGATATTACATGTCAAGTCTTTATTTTATGATTTTTATCAAAAATTTATTCTTTTTAAATATTTTATCAATTGAATAAAACATTTGTTTTAGCTATAAACCACTCCACAATTAATTTGTATATTAAACATCAAATGCATGAAATTTAAATGAAAATCACTTAAATTAACTTAACTTATTCGCGAAATGGATATTACTAAGTACTAGGTATTGATAAAGTTTAATTGTCTATCGAAAACTGCAGTCAAATAATCAACTAGATTGCGGTTTAGGAAAGTGAAAATGTGAAATATCGAGAAATAAATTCCAAATACATGAATAATGTTTAATATACAAGTTAAAATCATCATCATGTCAATGTTATTTGTTTTATGTCACAAATTTATAACATTTCAACACATAATTTTTATAATAAATGTATATTTAACATGTTTACATGAGCTTTTTTTTTTATCCTTTCTCACCAACCATTCGTGTTAATACGTAAGTACAGCATTGAAGTAACAATTTGGACAATTGATATTTCAATGTATACTGTTATAGTCATATTGATATTGCATAAAATACTACATTGTATTGATATTTCAATGTATACTGTGATAGTCATATTGATATTGCATAAAATACTACATTGTATTGATATTTCAATGTATACTGTGATAGTCACGGTGATATTTCATAAAATATTACATTGTATTGATATTGCAATGTATACTGTGATAGTCACGGTGATATTCAGAAAATACTACAGTGTATTGGTATTTCAATGTATACTGTGATAGTCACGGTGATATTTCATAAAATACTATAGTGTATTGGTATTTCAATGTATACTGTGATAGTCACGGTGATATTTCATAAAATACTACAGTGTATTGGTATTTCAATGTATACTGTGATAGTCAAGGTGATATTTCATAAAATACACTTTAATCATCTTTGACATACAACAATATTCTGAGATATTTCATGGAATGTAATAAAAGTCCATTGATATTTCACAAAAAAATATAGTGATCACATTGATGATCTATTTCATACAAGAGACATTTCATTGATATAGAAAACCTTCGGATTTTTGCGATGTGATAGTCACAGTTGTGATCCATGTAATCAGTATTTCGTAGACGTTGATGATCTGTAGCATACTATGGAAATTTCGTGGATCATTACTCATGTAATCATCATGTTGCTGATCAATTACATACTTTGGATATTCCGCGGATAATTATACTTTTTGTAATCATGTTGGTGATCCATTCTATGCTATTGGTATTTCGTGGACCATTACTCATGTAGTTATCATGTTAATGATCCATTCTATGCTATTGGTATTTTGTGGATCATTACTCATTTAGTAATCACATTGATAATCCATTGCAAACTATTGATATTTCGTGACCATTACTCGTGCATTTATCATGTTGATGATTCATTGCAAACTATTGATATTTCGTGAATTACTCGTGCATTTATAAAGTTTTGGACCCAATGCATACTATGGATATTTCTTGGATCATTACTCATGCAGTAATGACGTTGATGATCCATTGCAAACTATTGATATTTCGTAGTTCATAACTCCCGTAGTAATCATGTTGATGATCCATTGCAAACTAATGGTATTTCGTGGATCATTATACATGTAGAAATCGCGGTTGGTGATAAATTGCATGCTATTGCTATGGAATACCTTTTGATTTATAATATCATAGTATGATAGCCACTTGATCATGGAGTCGGAATACTGTTTGATTTTCATTGAACATGCATGGTTACATAAATGATCCATAGAATAATATAATTGAAACAATGACATTTCAAGAATACTGTAAGAGTCACATTGATATTTCAATGACTAGCCTCAATGATATTTCATTCACTTCTGCAATAGTCAATTTGATATTTCATAGAATATCGTAATTGTTACGTTGATATTTCAATGAATACTGCTTAAGTCACGTTGATATCACAACGGCTGCTAATGTTATTTCATTCACTGCTGTTACAGTCACGTTGATACGTCACAGAATGTTGTGGTTGTAACGTTGATATTACAACGACTGCTAATGATATTTCACTTCTGTAATAGTCACGTTGGTATTTTATAGAATATTGTTATTGTAACTTTAATATTTCAAGAAATGAAATGAATTGAGTTTTAAATCCTACTTTTCTGCACCATGTGGGCTATTGGAGACGGACAACACCATGCAGGGTGCAATGAGGGAAATTTTGCCAGGCCAGCGGCATTAGCCTGCTCTTTTTGATATTTCAAGGAATACTGTATAAGTCATTTTGATATCACAAGGAATACCTCCGAAGTCTTGTTGATACAAGGAATTCAGCCGCCCGCACGCAGACCCGAAAGCAAGTTTTTCGGGCAAAAAACTAGTTTAGAAATTCGGACAATCTCAGATATTTGCCCCCTGTTGAATAATGTACTTTAATGTTTTTATTTGATTTACAAAATTGTAAAAATACCAATAAGAACATTAATAGGATAACTGAATGTTCAGTAAAGTCAGAAACCTTGCTGTTGTTGAAGGGAGGTAAATGGCTTTTATAATAAAACTTTTATGGTTTCAGACCACTAAAACTGTTCACGTAAAGAATTGTGTCGAATGTAGTCTGCGTTATTTTTAGAAATCCTCTTTCTCCCTCCCTTTTGGGCTTTTGCATGCCTATATTTGACTAATTTTGAAATTGCATCTTCTTTCAGATTTTGTGAGATCATGAGAGATTTTCATGCGGAAGGATAATTTTAAAAATAGTTGTTTGTGTGCAGTGACAGTTAAGCGGATGTTGATAAAATGTAGTTGTCTTCTTTCAGTTTGGCTAGCTCAAGATTTTCATGGTCATGATATTTTGAATTTTTGTTCAGAAACTAAGCATTGGACACTAACACAGGCTTCCATGTAACATATTGGAAAGTTTTCAACGATTCTGGAACAAGTTATAGAAGGTTGAATTTCGTGATATAACATGGAAACAGGTGGCAAATGAATTAATGGTCTTAGTCCAGACTACATGTATTATTAATTTATAATTCAACTGAAATCCGTCGTTTTCAGAACAGTTGTTTTAGATGGTGATGAGAACATAGTATTACGAAAGCACTGGCTTAGGTCACAAAGTAAAGATTTATGATAAAACAAGGTGCAAGTTAAAGGTTATGATAATTAGATATGTTAACTAAGGATGTCTCTGTAATACTATCTGTGGTAGTATCATTTCTTGAGCTGAAATAGTTGAAAATATAAAGAGTCAACATTCTTGTGATATATCAATAATCATCTAAAGATAAAACCTGTATTGTGAAACAAAATCTTTTCATATATCTATAAGAAATTCAGAAGCATTAATATTAATAGTCATCGTAGGAAATTCAAAAGAAAAGAAGTCAGAAACAGTTGTGTCACACATCTAGTATCATCTCAATGTTAGGCTATTACGAATCCTTGGGGTTCTGGACATTGTGAATGTGCGCCGTCAACAACCGATTGATTTAAACATAATTTTACACTTTTTCAACAGTATCGGCTTAAAAAATTAACGACAGGATTTGTTTCAGTAAAGTTAAGGGACATATTTCTCTAGACTTTGGTGTAAGATTCAATAGGATAACAGAATGTTTAATAGTAAAACTAAAATGTTTTTAAAGGGAGGCAACCGACTTTTAAATCGAAACTTTATCTCAGATTACAAAAACAATTAAGCCCTTGTAATTTTCGACTTGTTCCATCCGAACATGCTTTAACATGTCAGCTCCTCCAACCTGCTTCACTGGCAAATTAAACCCGGGTCTGTAATATTTAAAGGGTCTCGCTATTTTAATTTTACATAAATATTTTCTTATTAGTTAATCCAAACCCGAATGTTTATTATTACATTCCTATCGAAGCTAGTTTTCTAAGACGCATCAAACCTATATTAGATTGTGCATTATCTACATATCATTTGTGTGAACACTTTTCTCTGTGCATTTTTGTTGTCAAAATTCAAGTCGTCAAAATTGATATATGAGCCATTACTAATTTAATTAATTAATATTTTTTTACAATTTTATATCACTTGATATATATGACTAAATGTGTTATGACGCATCGGAGTCTTTATCGATGAATTACTTGAAAGTCGCGATTTTATACTTGAAGAAATTGTGATTATAATTCAAGCAATAGATAGACGATCTAGATTTATGGTGAGATTATTAAAGGAATACTACCTGTTAGAATGGACATACAGTTTAAATCCGCAACTTGATTGACAAGAGCATAATTCATCAGCTGGACTTACCAGGTGTCATGACTAAAAAATAGAATCTCTATGTAAGACGCTTCTAAGCATGTTTCAAAATTACTTAGTTTAACGGATTATGACTTTTTTTATGGATTTATTGGATTATCGAGTGATTCTCGATATAAAAAGTCCACTGATGAACAAAGACTTATTTTGGCGAAGTTTTAGAAATTTCAATTTTTGATCATCCTAAGAGTTAGTATACCTTAAAAATCTCAGTAATCATAATTATACACTCTGCAATAGGTATTTTAATGTCATACTTTTTTAAATTCCGCTCTTAAGACCATTCATTGTGTATAGTAAATTGTTATAATCACGCTTATTTGAATAATACAGTATAAAAATAGAATTACAAAGCATTATTTAATTTGATACATACTAAACAATAAGTCATACAAGACAAATAAATACATTACGATAAGGTTTAAAAATAGTCAAGGTTCTTGCCGACTGACTCATTCATATTTTACTTCACGGTTGCCTTCTAAATCTCTTTACTAAGTTTAATATTGCTTAGTTTTGGAAGAGTTGTATGATATTTGTGCAAATCATCCTTATTTATGATAAAATGGTCGGGTTCGAATACAGTGAGGCAAACATTTGGCAAATCAGTCCACTTCTAGTATTAGTCGTATTACTGTACTATATTTCCTAAAAGTTAGAATAAAGCTGTTATCCATCCAATCCTAAAGAAAGGAAATCTGAAGGTTCCACCAAATTACAGAGGAATATCGCTTTTTTCGTCTATTGGAAAGGCTTTTACTTAAAAGATATTAAATACCAGATTAGCCAGTTGTTGCGATCCTCATTCTATAAATTATTACATAATATGCATAAAGTTTTGGTTCAAATTGATGGAAATGTCAAAGTATCCTAAAGCATGTTATGATATGTTGTTTATTTTGGATGAGGCTGGAAAAGTTACATGGACAACTTACGTAAAACTCATACGGATATGTATGAGATAGTCAATCCAAATAAGATGATTATCGTCTATTTAAAACACAACATGAACACTGTCTAAATTATTTTGTAAATAAAAAAAATCAGGATAGCTTTAACCAAATTTAGATATTGCAATACAATTTATATTTATATATTTATATTATTGTATTGTATTGTATTGTACATTATGTACTATGGGCTGTACACTATATTCTGTAATAAAGATTGATTGATTGAGATTAAACATCTAGCTGTTTACCAAAAATAGGAGGTTTAAACAGTAAGTATAATAATATTTAATTTTCTCTTCTGAGTAAGAAGCGTCCTTTTAACACTGATAATATTAGTTGGCAATAACAGATCTTTGTACGATTCTTACTTCCAACAAATGATATAATAAAATTTCACTACACCAGTATGTATAATATGAGATTTTTTTTTTCAGAATAAACCAAAAATGGATCTAACATATTACATTGAACGTCTACGCATTGTGCCATGTTTCGTCAATATGAACATTAAGAAAGTACGGAGATACGTTCTAAAAGACATCACTGAGAAGGTTTACAATGATGATAGTCACATTCTGCAAGTGCCGCAACAGAATCTCGTTTCATTTGTTTACTATTTACTGCAGCAATTACCAGAGAGTGAAGCTAAAAATGACAAGGTATTGTTGAGCCATCCAAACAACATCAATGCTAACTGTATGAAGATTATCTTATCCGCCAAAGCTCAAAACTTTGCCAAAGCCGAAGAACATCTGAAACGACTGGAAGAGCTGAGAGATGTCCACCATCTCGTAGTTGAAGCTGAGGCAGAAATAGCATTTGCTTTTTCTAAAGTAGGAGTTGAATATCATATGGTAGCTATTACAAAATTTACTAATGTGGTAGAGGAGCGATCAGACCAATATGAATGGAAATACAGATTGGCTTTTCTACTGAGGAAATGTCAAGACCCTAAAATGCGAATACTCTTGCCAACTAAGCTAGATCCCTCTGAAAACATTGTCAGGTGTAAATCCATGTTTGAAGATATCATATCTAAGTGCTCTAATGACACTCTTAAAGCCTTATCTTTAGTCCAAATTGCCCTCTTGTACATGAAGCCAAATTCTCTAAATGTGAATTTTATAAAACTAGGAATAGATTTAAGAAATACACATAAAATTGTTAAGGAATACTTGGATAGAGCCCTGAGCCTTGATCAAACAAATGTACAAATGTTATGCGAAACTGGTAGGATTTTAAGAAAGATTAATGAATTGGAATCTTCAAGGAAAGTTCTAGAAGACGCCTTGCGTTTCACGAAAAAACGTGAAACGTATCATAACCTGGCCTTGACAATCAAGGATTTAGAAGGCACAACTTCCCTCGTCATTAAATACTTGAAGAAAGCCAGCGGAAATGGAATAAATCAGATTGCAACTATTCATTTAGGCGATGCGTATATGCATTTGGAACCACCGAAGTTTCAGCGAGCATTACAATGCTTAAAACGAATGAAAATATATGGACAAGAATATAACATGATGCAACAAAAATATGACAATTTATCAAAATGTTATGAAATCATGATGCATCGTGCTCTATCAGACATAGATCTAACGGTAGAACTGCGTCAGAAAATGGTGGAGATGAACCAGAAGAGTATAGTATTTGGTATTCTATGTTGGATAAAATCGACCCCGAAAAACGAGTTAGTCATGTTAAAATCTACTGAGTTATTCCCTGACAGATGGATGGAAGGCTACGACTTAAGAAATCCAAAGGATTCATTTTTAAATCAACTTCATTATTTTCAAGGAAAATACAAATATCCATATCTTCAAAGATTACAATATTTAGTTGAAAATGGTTCTCTTGATGATATAGAAGACGACATCATGTCAGACTTTAACAATGGAAAATATGAAGATTGTTTAGAAATGACACTGTTTTTATTAATAACTGATATATATGGAATTGACCAATTTTTTTTTTCAACAATGATTAAGATTTTAAAAGTTGCTGTGGAAACAAGAGATGAATCATTGGCAAATAAATCTTTTCTGTGGCCAATGGAATATCTTTACATGGTAAATGATGCTGTTGGTCATTTTAGAATCCTTACAGATCATCATAGTCTGAAAGAAGCCAAGATGATTGAAACCTGGTTGGAAAACCTTAGCATGATTGTTGTTAGAAACGATGAAGACATTTCGCCGTTTGCAGACAGGCAAGAAGCTTTGATAGAATCCTTCAAAGGAAATGTAGCAGTGTTATGTATTATCAAGGGCAATAACTCCACTCTTTCAAACGATTATCCAATTAACATGCTTCCTGCTGATGAACCACACCTGTTACTGATTGTAGCGGATGCCAGCACATTGCCTAAGGAACTCTCACATCACCATACCTTAAAACTACCACCAAAGGACAATGACCAGACAAAAGCGGCGTGGTTAACTGATCTAGCAGAAATTATATTCCGTTGCGAATAACTAATTGATAATAACATTCCATGAGTTAATAATGTAACTGCTGTATATACGATATTGTACATTGGATTGTTATGAAGGATTTTCAATTCAAGGGAACATGGTTTTTTAGAATTTTTCAATCTTTTAATGTGTTCAATAAGATATTCACTTCAAGGGACGCAATCCTATTATGACTTTTGATTTTGGTTAGTGTTGATATTATTTGCAACTTTTCGTAGAGCACGAGCTTATTTTTTTGCCAAGATCAAAGATAATTGTCAGCTTATTGCTTACGCTGACTTCTAATGTAGTCGCAGTTATGATCGGTTTTCAAACCAATGATTTGGTAATTTTGACAACTGACTTCTCTTGGGGCTGTAAGATAAGAGATAAATGGTTGATAGTTTGAATTAGGTTTCAGTTAATACACTATAACTATGTCACTAATGTACTGATATATTTAGTTATTTAATCTATATGTATTACTTGATAAAAGATAACACTGTTTGTGTCATTATTCTGGTCATGAAAAATACTAGCAAGGTAGACAACGAGTTAATGTCCATGAATTTAAAAAAAATTTCTATTAAAGATAATATCACAGATAGACAAAAAACTTCAACTCAAAAGTGACACTTTTCTCTTTTCTGCATAGACTACCAAGAAATTTGACAATCATGAAAGACCAAGCGTCGCAGTCATTTTAAAATTAAATTTCTATTTCTTAAATATCAATTATCAAGATAACAATTCACTGGGGTCACTTGTGTCAAAGCTAGCTAGCATATTATATTATAGCAAAAATAATATAAAACTGTTCAGGTATATATTTTTGTTTGTTTTTTTTATATATCTACGTTATTTTCGTGCTACAGTGAAAGTTTGCAAAAAAGAACACTACTAGATGTAATGCATCGTTTATGTTATGTTATGCGAAATACATTTTAAAATGTTTTTTTTAAAATTGATACTCAACCCGAAGATTCAATCGCTTAATGATTGGGCCTATGTACAGATTGGATTGACACTTTAATATTTTATTATATGACAGCCCAGCCCTCGGTGCATTAATTGAGGATTGACAAAGAAATATTACAGCATAACCTGAAACAAGCCAGTCGAATGACCGGGGTTCTGTCTGAAGATAGCACCGCGTGAAACTCAAGAGTAACACGAATTTCAACAGTAGATTGATTTATTGTATTGATAAAATAATTTGGTATAGTTCAGCAAAATGAATCAAAATTAACAGTTTAGTTGAATTAGAAGTAGAATAAATGGTAGGCGTAATTAGTTTCACCGTCACCGTTTTATACTGACACTATATAGCCTACCTGAAAATATATAGTGTTTCTGTTTTAAATCGTTACAATATACACAAAAACCTTGACGATAAAAATATACTGGAATTTGTCGTCTTTTAATTCAAAGATTGAAATTCAAACGTTTTACAATGCAAATTTCATTTCACATATTGACACATAAAGTTTGGAAATAACGGCCACCACATTTTATCAACTATATATATATATATATATATATATATATATATATATATATATACTTTGATATTAATTTCCACGTGATGAGAGATAGTAGATAGTCCGAATTAGGTGGACAGTCCGTGGTTGAATTCCAATGTTAACATAAACTGACAGTAGTTGTGGACGGTAAGAGTTTTTCTTCAATATATAACATTATAGGTCTAAAGCTTAAAACATTATGTATGTACCCGTCATGGTCGAAAAGACAAGAAAATGTCAGTATAAATTTTTACCCATATGAAAGGTAACAGCTTGTGAGCGTATTTGTATTATTTCATTGCCATTATTTTATTCTGAAACACTTGTGATGAAACACGGTATATCATAGCAAACGTAGTGGAATGGTACAAATTGTTCAAAGGTAAACTTTATCAAAATCGAAATCTTATAGCCACGAGTTGAACCTTGATCCTTTTAAACGTTCGTGGGACATTTTAGAAGACATTGGCCTTGATTGATTTTGACTTAATGGTTCTAGCAGACGGGCCAGAGAGCAAGATCCTAGAATACTGTGATACGTTTTTCAGAAGATGTATTTTAATTCTGAAAAGTATATACGGATAGCTGATAAACAAAATATTAGAAAATTACACGTTTGTTTCTTTGCCTGCCTAGCTACCTTGATGAAAGTATTTCCTATGCCTGATATCTATGAGCAAGGCCTTTTACACAGCGAACTATGATTAATAACAGCAGGTTCTGTTTAATATCTATATCGCCCTATAATTGATTTAAATAGCACTATTATAACAGTGTAAATAATTTGTTATCTCCAGTTGCGCATTGTTGCGAATAAGAATAGCGGTCAAAATCTTGAACAAAACACTCCATGTAACTGAATAGTGAGTTGCGTTCGAAACTCATGACTTTCATCGTTCGCAACCGTACGCAACTGATAATCGCTATGGTGTGAGGGCACCTTAAGTTGACAAGAATTATGCCTTTAAATCTTCGTGATGATCGTACAAGTTTTCATCAACTTTTAGATGGTACCATCTCGTGCTCACTCTTCAAGATGAATTATACACTTATACAATATTATGTTAACGTGTTATGAAAGATTCAGATTTAGACATTGCGTTTCTTTCTCAATACAGATTTGCAAAAAAACCTAAGAATATGAATTATATTTTTATGCCATAATTTGTTAATTTCAGAACTATCTAACCGTAGGTATTTAAATATGTGCTTAGATAGTTTGTGATGTAGAACTGCAGACATGGATCAAGGCAACTGGTATACATTTTTGAAATATTTAGGATTAGTTGTTGGCTGTATTGCTAAATTTACCAGTGGGTCACTGTTTGTATTCAGTGCGTATCAAAATGCCATCAAGGAAACATTTAACTATACACAAACGGAAGGTGAGATTTATGCCGAAGTCATTATCGTTTTCGCAGAAATGAATCTGACAAAAATACTTCATGTGCCTTGACTTCTCCCCAAATCTGAAATGTCGCTACAAAACTTTGGATTGGAGGGGGGCCATCGTAAATTGTTTTTTTCGAAAGCATTCAAGAGAGGATGTGAAATTTTCGAAAATAACGGGCTTAAATCTTGTAGTTTAATGCAAAGTGAAACAGTATTATTTAAATATTATTACATTTTTACATCAAAAAATATTTTGTACAAAAAACTGCCGTTTACTTTAACTGATATTCACCGTTTCTATTTCAGTTGAGTTATTGTCATCATGTCTAAATCTTGGACTTGGAACTGGATTTTTACCAGGAATGATTTTTGATAAGTTTGGTCCACATTTAACTTCCGGTATTGGGCTAATCATATCCGGTGGATCTTATTTCCTAATATGGAGTACAACGAAATCTGTGAAGTTTTACGAACCTCGATCAGGGTTGATGGCCTTTTATTTCTATTTAGCAGGTAGGTTACATAATACATAATGATATTATACAAGTAAGTCACGTTCGTTTTTCATTCGTCACATCGTGTGGCAAGTAGACAAGTCTTGAAATTAGTTTCAGAATTAAAATTTTCATTATTTATTAGTTTCAATATTATATCAAACTTATGAAGATTATGCTCAAATATCACATTTAAAAAAAATGAAAGGTCTACATGATCCTTGAATACAAACTGATTCTGCATTTCTGAGACTGATCTCTTTGGATTCTCAGAAGTATCTGACGTCAACAAAACCTGTATGTCTATGCAACAGACATCAACAAAACCGGAATGCCTGTAACTGACGTCGACAAAACCTGAATGCCTGTAACTGACGTCAACGAGATATCTTAGCATTTCTTGATAGACGTCCATCTGTACATTTCTGTTACTGACGTCAATTTGATCTCTATTTCTGTAACTGACACCAACATGACATAACCTGAGCATTTTCTGTAACTTACGGCAACCAAATCTGTGTATTTTTTCTATCTGAATTCAAGTAGATTGTGCAGCACTTTTAAAACTGATAACATCTCTTTCAAACGTCAACCAGATGTCTGAACATTTCAGTAACTGACGTCAACAATAACTGTATATTTCTGAAACGAGATCGTAATGCAATTTTGAAATTGATATTGGCACAATTTTTGACATGTATATCAGTAATCGAAGTCATCGAGATTATGATGATGTTAGAACCAGGCAGGATGATATTAAACTGACGAATAAATTTTCAACCATTTTTTACATTTTTTTTTAGGCTTTGGTTCCTTATTTAGTTACATGGCAGCATTGAATACAAATGCTATTAATTTCCCTGCTAAACATCGAGGAAAAGTGATAAGTTTATTAAACGCGTTTTTCACTGGAAGTCCGTCTGTTTTTGTGTCTATTTACTACAACGTTTTTTCTGATGGTGATTACAATATCGTCAAAAATCAACATTATGATAAACTGATGTTTTTCTTTGCTATTTTATTTATAGTAATGAATGCAATGTGTATAGTTTGTTTACATGATCTATCTAAACTACAAGGACCAGAAACTAAAAGTGCATACACTGTAGAGAATAGTACCGATTCTAACCATGTACAATCTGGTATGGATTCCGCTGTAAATAGCATTGAAGGATCCAAGAAAAATACAGAAGAAAGAAAAGATGATTCTATAAAATTCATATTGTTGTTAAAGGATCCCAGTTTTCATCTGTTGGCCTACACTTTTATGTCTGCTGCAATTTTATCCTTGGTAAATACTAATAATTTAACAGTGCTAACCAAGTCTGTTGGATTAAACCATTTTGATAATACCTTATTATTAGTGATGCCCATAGTAAATACCATCATAAGCTTTCTCATTGGTCCGGTTTCAGATAAAATTAAGGGCAAGATTCCACGTTTGACTCTTTTAGTGATAGGATGTGTTTTTTTCACTGCATCTGAGTTGGTGTATGTGTTTTTCGGAACCTATCTTGCAGGAGTGATCTGTAGTGTAATAATAACTGCATTTGGTATTGGTACACTATGGTCTTTGGTACCAACTATTGTTAGTGAAATGTTCGGTATACGTGATTTTGGTCGAAACTGGGGCTTGCTGCTGATGTTAGCTGGGGTTGCAGGTTTAGGGGGCCAAGCTATATTTGGTTTTCTCTATGACTCTAGAGTAAGGTCAGACAATATCTATTGCTATGGTAAAGATTGCACTATTTATGGATATATTTTAATGGCGGTTTTAGGATTAATTTCCATAGCACTGTCGGCAATTCTTGATATAAGACAGCGATATAGAGAGAAATACAATCAAATATTATAGATAGTATTCTAACGTAATGTTAGTTTGTATGATTATATCTTCTTAAAGGTAATCTTACTACAACGTGTTCCTACCTTCCTTCCCATACCTGAGTTAACGGGGTCACCGCTTTTGTGAAGGACGACAAATTTTAACGTATCTGAAAATTTTAGCTAAAAAACTTCAGTTGTTAAGTTTTTAACTCCAAAACTTTAAATTACGTAAGTTCGTTATGCTTTTTGGAAGCTGTTAAAAAAACTACTGTACGGATTTAAGGAAATATGTCTCCTACTTATATTCTAAAGTTCCAACTAATAATATCGAGCCATATAAAGCAAAACTAGGTCAAACTATTAGTACTCTCCGTTTTTAATTAACCCTTTAAAACAAATTCAGTTTTATCAAGTAGATACATAGATATACATACATAGCATACTTTAGAAATATATTTAGGTATAATTTACGATATTTTTGGTAATGAAAGTGTTTTACAAAAAAGCGGAATGCCGCTGAAAGGCTTCGAGCAGCAATTTTCAAAAAATATTTTTACAGGACATGACATTCGGGCAGTGATTTCAATTCTCAAATGATATGAATCATGAAATATTATTTAAGGACAATATTGTGATACGATCTTAATTAAAAAATACAGTTATAGGATAGTATATTCGGGCAAAGATACGATTTCAGTATTAAATGTTAAAAAACAGTGATATTATAAGGACCTCAGACAAAAAATTTATTAAAAAAATGCCGCCCCCCTCTCTCTCTCTCTCTTTGGCTCCGCCACTGCAATATGTGTTTGACAGCTCGTTACCACATGGATACATTTCATAGCTTTTAATATGAATTTTATTTGATATTAATTTAATGTTTGAATAATCAAAATTTTATTTTTAATGAATATTATATTAAGACTCAAGCTGCACAGTAACGTATGTTTATTCAATATTCAATTCATGCCATGCTGAGGTAGGACGGTGCAATTCTTACAGTGTGGTGGGAGAAGTTTATTTAATAAACAGTTTTTCACTGGAAGTCTGTCTGTTTTTGTGTCTATTTACTACAACGTTTTCTCTGATGGTGATTACAATATCATCAAAAGTCAACATTATGATAAACTGATGTTTTTCTATGCTATTTTATTTTAATAATGAATGCATTGAATACAGTGAATTTTTTAAAATACAGGCCATGAGTCTAAATATTGGACCATTGGTCCTTTGCCAAGTAAATGTGACCTGTTATATAATTGTGTTCACGATTGGCTTGGCTTCAAATAGTTTGTGAACGCTGGTCATAATAATTCTTATTTTGTCAGAAATAAAGCACTAAAATCTCTTCATAAAATTTGATACAGCCAGGAGGGGAATAATAATTGCAATAGCTCGGTCATCCTTGTCACTAATTGCTTTTAAAATTTAAAAATGCAAAATGTAAATCACGAAACGATGCCGTATATGACATGACAGAGGTGCATTTAGGGGCCATTACAAATTCTCCGCCCTATTAAATCCAGAAAGGGGAGCCGAGGGCCTCGGATGCTCGCTCCGTTAATGAAATCTTTGCAATGCCACTGGACATGAATCTTGTATTTTGATTCTAAAATACCTGAATGAACCATACGGGAAAGGGAAAAAACTGACCTGTAGACATACATATTCAAATTCCAGATATACGAAATTAAATAAGTAAAATATCCATTTTAATCCATATCCATATCATTTATAATGAAATGAACGACAATGCAATAAGAAAATAATAGTATGTAACTCGAACAGGTATATTTTTTGTTGTTATTTTCCCGACCGGACATTTTGAAAGATTGCTTGTATTGTTAAAGCCTGTGATTGGATCTCATGTGACCTATATTATAGCACGTGCCTGAGTAGATGTAATTGTTTGTGAACTGTATTTTGAGTTGGTTGATGATCTCAAGCTTGTCAATACGTCTAATAATGACGCAGTACTCTGACTTTCCTTCCTCGTACCACGATCATTATTAGACTTATTAACAAACTTTCGACCAATGACCTATACATACAGGTCATTTTCAGTAACCCTTCATGCAAAATATCATTATGAAATTACAAAGTTTGAGAGGACAGACAGAATAACTTGGTAGGAAGAAGAGAGCATGGGACTGAAGGCCGAAAGACGGTGAAATATTTTAGATACATGAAGCATGGAATGATAGAGAAAGCATGATGAAAGAATGAAAATATCTAAAATATTATTGTCTCCCCTGAATTAAAATATTTTAAATGACTTCGAATCGAGTGGCTGAAATTACCAACAGTAATTTACACAATTACCAACAGCAATTTACACAAATGTCAACGTAAAGATTTTATTTCAATTCTACATTGGAGTATATTACTAGCATATAAAACATTGGTTATAATATATTTGGTAAGGGTGAACATGTCCAATACGGAAAGCTGGAACAACCGATCATGAACATGCTATGGAATCTGTAGTGTATCTTATAATATGTTTTGTTGCGATTTTGTATCCATATTCCTATCGTACATCTCATAACTTGTGTGATTGTCTCGACACTATTCACGTTTAGAAAAAAAATAATATTTATAGGCAAAAGTTTAAAATATTTACACAAGATTACAAGATACAAAACCCCTACTAATGGTGAGAACACAGAAGGCTAGTTGAATCATAATGCACGATCATCCGCGATACACCACAAAATAAAGCTACATTGCAGGTACTTGTTTTATCCATACTTGAGACCATAAGAACAGAAACACTAGCTGAGCGTCATTGATCTCTCTTCCTCGAGTCGGGACAAATGGTAGCCTATCCATTTTTGATAGAGTACTTATATCGGATATCAACCGTTGAATAAGAACCTTATGCGGAACACTACCAAATGAGTCCACCATGAAAAGTTAATTAGTGCTTGATTAATTCTGTTTAAGACCAGTATCCCTTTTACACATACATCATTTTATCAGAAAGAAGTTTGATGTCTATGTAACGGAGAAAAAGAGTTTGATGTGCCAGTGCTGTCGTTGTTACTTGATCGTTTAAACTCAGTTGATGTGCGACGAGCAATATGCCTACAGAAAATAGTGTCAAAAAAACGTTTGCGAAATTTTTTACCACTTAGAAAATACAAGTAAAAGTTAACGGCGTGATTACTATCCGCTAAAACAAAAATAAGTTGCTCTGTAAGCAGGAAAATAACATGTTCGTATGAGTTTGGTGTGTAGATCCAATAGGCTTTGATAATAAAGAATAAACAATTTGGTAATATTAATAATACAAACACAACAGAAACAACCACTAGCATAATAGTAATCTGACGTTGCTGTTTCATTGTTTCCGTCGTATGTCGTGATTTGTTATGAATCAAACCTTCTTGAATCCTTGTTGATTTTCGTATACCAAATATAATCAGAAAGTTAAACACAAACAATAAAATACACGGTACAATGGCATATAGAGCTCCGTCAATCCAGTACCAGTAAAGATATATAAACGTTTCATACTCTGTTTGAAATTTACAATGAATATCTCCTTTCCCGTCGGAAGATTGTGTTTGAGACCACAGAAATTGAAGGTTAGCTAACAGTAGCACCACTGCAACACCAGTCATCGCGTAACAGGCGTTTTTCCAGTTGCAATAGTTCACAACTTTCAAAGGAAACCAGATAGCAATAAAACGTTCGACGGTCATAGCGACTAAAATCCAATTGACATACATTATAGAAAATGATCCTAAATAGTATAAGAGTCTACAGCCCCAAACACCAATCACATCGTGTTTTGTTAGTTGATGTAGTACAAGTTTGGTTATCAAAGCAAAATTATCACCAGCCGCCAGAACAGCAATGTAAGCTGTTGATGATGTTAACGGCGGCATTCGTAGAATTGTAATAATACTTGCCATATTGCCTGGAAATCCAATGGCAAAGATGACCCATAGATAATATCTGTTGATGTAATTAGCAACCCAATACAACTTGAACTGCTCTAAAGTAGTGAGCTCTGGATTGTTGGTAATATTATCCATGGTAGTGTTAGTGTACATGGTCAATCTAAACTGATTAATCATAGCTCACCAGTATTTAAATTAGCACATGTTAAATTGTTATCATATTTCTGTCATGATGTTATTTTTCTAATCAATTTACAGAGAATATCGTAGTAAAAATAAGGGTATGTCAATGACATTACAAATTACGTATTATGACATACCAGTAGCATGTAAAACAACATTGGAATTCAGTCAATCAACATAAACGGGTATAATGCGGTCACTTAGTTGAGTAAGTTATATTGTCGCCAGCAATCGCTGCAAGTCATATTTCACAGGAGTTTCAGACATGCTGGTATTCAGATGTTTATATTTTTGTCAGCCAACCATTTACATTGCGTAATCTTTATTTCAAAACATGATAGATCACACCAGTAAAGATTGAAAGAATTGTTTGCTGTACGAGATAGCTCTACGTCCTTTTAAGTACTATTCCTGATGTATAGCCCGACATTTTCATAAACCAAGTTACTCCTCACAATAACATTGAAATGTGCATGTAAGTCACAAAATGTTTCAATCCTTCGTAATCAGCATTTCAAATCGACAGTTACGGAACAACACACAATTAAACGATTGTCTTAAAGTATCTTTTGTATAGCGACTGTCTTTCAAGTGCATTAAATTTTTCTGAATTTCCCTGCATTTCTATATTTCAGAATTTAACATGGGTACTTTAAGAACAGCACAGTCTGGTTGTATAACGGATACTATGTCGGGCGTACAACCTTATCTAAATTATACCTTTTAACCTAATCACCATTGGTAATTCAGTGAAACTACCTGTTCCCAACAGCAAAATATATTTCCAATAATTAACACCACGAAACTAAAGCATTAGTTATCCTTGTTGATGTTCACAGCACTTACTCCCAAATTTCAAGAATTTCTTCCTTCAAACTTCCGCATTTCATGTAATATCTTTATAAAAACATCAGATAAGAATTTTGAGTCTGTAAAAGGTCGTTTTGTTTATTTTAGGATAAAATAATCTAAATCAGAAAACTTCACGTATAGCATCCATCTTCCACCGTATGTTATATTCATATATTTGGTAAAAGAAACTGGTGAAAAACTCTTCTTCGATATAATAAACACACCCCTTTAAAAGGGATGTGTTTTAACCCGAACTTTGTTTATGACAATTATAACAATGTTTGTTTTTTCTTTTTTAAAAAAGATACGAGATGCTCCGCCTTAATTGATCTGTACTTCATCTCAGAACTTTTCATAGAATATATTTCGGTCTTTGTGGTGATATTTATTTGATGGGGAAGAAACCCAAAGTCTATATACCGTATTGCAATGATATTTATATATCATTTCAACCATAGGGAAATCGGATTATTAATATCCCCAACTTCGTCTTATTATGATAATTATGTTTCAGCTTCCGATATAGGAAATGTAAAATATGGAAAAGAAACATAAAAGAAAGGTAATTCTAGTGATTTTAAGGATGTAGAATATTTATGACCTGTATTCAAATAATAATGGCTAATCTTGGAATTGTGATAATAATAAGAATTGTTGATAGTATAAAATGATAATATGTCTATATACCAGCATACAAACCAACCTCTTCCTTAGTTAAGTCTACAGATTACACAATTAAAACTATTCCATGTCAAAGCAGTCTGGTATCTTTTCATTTCTTTGTTAAAATACTTGTCCGATGAGCAACTGTCCGTACCCCATGTGTAAGACGTGTTATCAAAACTCAGAGAATGGAATAGCGGCAGGTATTTCGGACTACTTTTATACTAGATCGCTGCCTATATTGCCAACTTTTATTTGATAATGCACGCTTGTGTTACAACATTTTGTCGTGCTTTTCGAACATGATAGCATAGCTTTTTTTCTTGAAAAAATACATTTTCCACATTTTGCCGCCTCTTTCAATGAGATTATTTTAAAGTGATACGTCAAAGAATTAACACAATTGTTATTTTCACAAACAGTTAGAGACACACTGACAACCAGAACAAAGACGGTCTTGTAATTTTTTGTAATTTCAATATTTAAGTTTTTAGAAAAAGTTGTTCATCGTATGATGCCAATGTTGGAGCTCCATCTTAGCTTCCGTGTCAGAATAGCTGACAGCATATGATACGATACAATGAATCATTGACCTGTGAGGGACACATTCGCCATCCGTTTGAGCAATCGTACCTTAGCCTCTAAAATTAATGGTGTTCACAGCTCACCGTCGAAATTTTAGTCTTCAAATCCATGTGTGTCCAGAATTATCCTCGTTTGAAAGTTTAGATGACGACTCGATTATACAGAAAAGATTTATATAAAAATAAAAGTGAAATTTATAGTTATATTTGAATGGACTATGCGATATTCATGAAGTACTAGTACAGTAGTAGATTTTTGAAGACCAGTTACCATATTCAAGACCCAAATCAGCTCCCAAAAATAGCGAACATATGGCGTGTGTTTATATAGTGTGCTTTATGTTAATTTTCAAGTTCCATGTGAAAACCATTTTTTTACATAAAAAAAGCGCCAAATGAGGACCTACATAATTACTTTTGGCACCATTTCAGATCGATTTCGCTTGGTCGCAATTTTGAAAGAGCTCTACTACTATTAAACATACGAATGCTTTAGGGAATAACAAAGTACAGGGCTTGGCTGCTATTATATATACGAATGCTTTAGAGAATAAATAAGTACGGAGTATGACTGCTATTATATACGAATGCTTTAGAGAATAAATAAGTACGGAGTATGGCTGCTAATAAATATACGAATTCTTTAGGGAATAAATAAGTACATGTGCAGGGCTTGGCTGCTATTATATATACGAATGTTTTAGGGAATATATAAGTACATGTACAGGGCTTGGCTGCTATTATATATACGAATGCTTCAGGGAATAAATAAGTACATGTACAGGGCTTGGCTGCTATTATATATACGAATGCTTTAGGGAATAAATAAGTTTATGTACAGAGCTTGGCTGATATTATATATACGAATGCTTTAGGGAATATATAAGTACATGTACAGGGCTTGGCTGCTATTATATATACGAATGCTTTAGGGAATAAATAAGCACATGTACAGGGCTTGGCTGCTATTATATATACGAATGCTTTAGGGAATGAATAAGTACAGAACTTGACTGCTATTATATATACGAATGCTTTAGGGAATGAATAAGTACAGAACTTGACTGCTATTATATATACGGATGCTTTAGGGAATAAATAAGTACAGAACTTGACTGCTATTATATATACGAATGCTTTAGAGAAGAAATAAGTACAGAGTTTGGCTGCTATTATATATACGAATGCTTTAGGGAATAAATAAGTACATGTACAGGGCTTGGCTGCTATTATATATACGAAGGCTTTAGGGAATAAATAAGTACATGTACAGGGCGTGGCTGCTATTATATATACGAATGCTTTAGGGAAATAAATAAGTACAGAGCTTGGCTGCTATTATCTATACGAATGCTTTAGGGAATAAATAAGTACATGTACAGGGCTTGGCTGCTATTATATATCCGAATGCTTTAGGGAATAAATAAGTACATGTACAGGGCTTGGCTGCTATTATACATACGAATGCTTTAGGGAATAAATAAGTACAGAGCTTGGCTGCTATTATACAAATGCTTTAGGGAATAAATAAGTACAGAGCTTGGCTGCTATTATACGAATGCTTTAGGGAATAAATAAGTACGGAGCTTGGCTGCTATTATACGAATGCTTCAGGGAATAAGTAAGAAAAGAGTTTTTCTGTTTTTAGTGGAAGGGGCTAGAAATCTTTGATCTAGGGGTAGAAGAGTGTAATTATCAGACAAAAGAAGTATATAGCCAAAGAGACATTTTTCAGTTTTCTTAACTAACTAACTTTCAAAAATTGTGCTCGGTAATTTACAATTTTATTTGTATTGTTCAGAACAACAATTTCTTTAACGGCTTTCATGAGCGATATGGTAATAATGATGAAACTTGAAGTGGTTTGATATAATTTAATCATTGATATTATCTTCACGTTAAAAATGTATAAGACTATTAAGCCTGTACCATTGAGTATTTCTTTGATCAATAGGATGTAACTAACACATTTATTCAAAGTAAAAATGCATGTCTCTTGAAACTAAAAGTAAATTGATGCGAAGAGCATTTACAAAAACATTTACAGAGATACACGAATCTTCAGCTTGCTTTCCTGCATTTCTGCGCTGAAATAATGTCTTGGAATAAGATAAGGTGTAGGTTAAAGATTCCAAACAAACATGAAAACACACTGACTTGGCTTCACAACGCACATTGTTATACAGAGTGTAACCAACAAGTAAGATTTTGTCAGAGCAGCGGTTGAATGATCGCCAACCTGGATCACTTTCAACGACAAACTTAACTAACAACAGAGTATTTTAAAGTTAAAAAATTCCTATGATACATCTCAACCAAGGATGTATTCAACTAATAATCGACCATTTGCAATAGTGTCCTCATTGGTCATCACGGGCTGCTTCATTTCGATAGTAAATGTGGAACTGAAAAGTTTAACCGGTTTTAGCAGGTAATTCATAAGCAAAAATCTATTCAGCTTTTTTCTTCTATCAAAGCGCCGGGAGGGATTAACGAATCAGAACACAGTTTATCCTACAAATGTAAAGTCCCAACGTTAAGGCAATATGTATGTAATACTTATCTCTTAGGGCCGTATGCAGCGCTCTTACCTTGACTAAAGTTGAACTTTGGCTAATAGTCAAATTTAAGCACCACTTTCGTAAAGATCGACCGGTGCATACCTTAAGTTCGACTTAAGTCTAACTTTAGTCAAAGTTTAGGTAAAGTACGAGCGCTGCATATGGCCTTTAGTGTTAATGGCCGTGTTAAAAAGAAAACTGATCGGGAAAAAATGGCTGACACAAAACCGTTTCCTCTTACGAAATTGTACTCTAAAGATTTATGGCCAACTGGCGGCATTTTCAATTTATTTCCTTGTGAACCAATTTCTTTAAAGTCATTTCAAGCAAGTAGGGTGTTAAAATAATTCCTCCATTAATAGACGATGTACTTTTTGATATTGGAATATAGACTAATCTTCTATCAACCCAGATATTTGTTCAGTATAATTGAAAACATAACATACAGTATTTCAATAACCATTCAAGTTTCAATAAAAAGAACATGCCTTTAAAGACATCGGCTAAGTGCGAGGGTTCGGAGAACGCGGAAAAACGCATGAATCCTCTCTACTGCTAACTTTGAAATTTGATAGCACAAACAATATGAGAAGCATGTGTAATTTTTTATGACATTTTAAGTTTCAGTATTGTATTTGACTCCAGTAAAACTCTAATAGAGGTCAGTAATGATACAGTTATAGATTGTATTTGACTCCAGTCTATAGTAAAGGTCAGTAATGATACAGATATTGACTGTATTTGACTGTAGTCTATAGAAGAGATCAGTAATAATACAGTTATTGAATGTATTTGATATTAGTCTTTAGTAGAGGTTAGTAATGTTATAGGTTGTTATACTTTAGATCATTTGCTGTAAACATGTCGACATCCAGCTGAAATTATACGATATTAATATCAAGACTATCTTAAAAGCAAATTGGCTCTATGAATAAAAAATAAAAAATAAAAAATGTTTCTTTAATGGTCATAGTATTTTTTCATTTTTAAAATTCTTCCTTATAGGAACATTTATACATTATTCAATCAACGCTCAATAATCTATTTTATTTTATTGGCATACAACTGATGCAATGTTTTGTTAAAAAATACATTTTGATATTCAAAACAAACAACAAGCTTTCTAGCAGCACATCTTTCAAAGCAATTATACAGAGCAGTTTTTTCAAACATAATTGTAAATGACACTGTGACAATATTTGTAATATTAAGAGATTTAATATTTATTCAACCACAAAGGTCAAAATGTATGCCATTTTCTAACATAGGCGTTGCTTCAGATACAAAGAAAGATAGCTTTAAGAGGACCAAGTATTCTTACGAACAAAGACAAGAGGGTGACTATTAATATACTTCCATATTTACCAAATTGTTTTCAAAATAGTGTCGTCAAAAGAAAGAGTCCTTGCTATTGGCAAAGTTGGATCTTGTGTTCTTTTCTGAAATAAACTATCCTTGCATAAAGGATTTCAAGTTCAAATTTGCAATGGATTTTTCAGTAAAATATCTGTCAATTCCTCGTATTACATTATTTGAAACAAGTTTAGTGGAATGCTGGACCCAAACCTCGAAACAAAGGTAGATGTCAGAAGGCGGCTTTTCTCTTTGATTCATGGGTTAGTCTCATATATTGGTTTACTCTCTGTATTTTCTATATTCTTTTTAATTACTCACATTAGATCGTTGTACTTCTCACGCCTGTGGAAATGAGCTGAATAATATTGATAACCTATCTATCATTTAAGATGTTCATTATAAATTCATTTATCTGACTTTATCGGGGTAATGAATTTTATGTTGGAAAAATGTTTGTTAATTGACAATAACTGTGCGTTATGGTGTCACTGAGTTGCGAAAGTGTACTGACTGTATTTCAGGTGGGAAGGCAAATTAACCATTCAGAGTCAAAGTTACAGAGGTATTTTCCGGGAAAGTAGTGCAAATTTATCAGTCATAGTCACAGTTACAGATTTTTTCCGGGAAAGTAGTTCAAATTTATCGGTCATATTCACAGATGCGTTCCAGGAAAGAAGTTCAAATGTATCGGTCATAGTCACAGTTACAGAGATTTTGTGGGAAAGTAGTGCAAATTTATCGGTCATAGTCACAGTTACAGTTTTTTCCGGGAAAGTAGTGCAAATGTATCTGTCTTAGTCACAGTTACAGAGATTTTCCGGGAAAGTAGTGCAAATATATCGGTCAGATTCACAGTTACAGATTTTTCCGGGAAAGTAGTGCAAATCTATCTGTCATAGTCACAGTTACAGAGCTGTTCCGGGAAAGTGGTGGAAATTTACCACTCATTTCTGGGAAAGCAATGCAAATTTACCAAAAGGTCAGTTATAGAGATGTTCCGGGAAAGTAGTGCAAGTTGTTGTACGTTGTCTATAATGGAATCAAAATAAATTGATATTTATAGTAACAAAAATCAAGAAGTATGTTATCTGATTTGTCTGTGTGTAATACGATTAGAGATGTACAACAAAGTTCGGAATAACAACACGGTACATTAACAGATTAAACATCTACTAGCAATGACAAAAACCTTTCAGCGACACAAGAGAATGCACGTTATTTAACCCTGCTATTTCAATAAATCTGATCTGAATACGTGGTGCAAAGCAAATTGTTAATTAGCAAAAGGGAAAGGAAGGCATTTAAATTTTTTGGATTCATCAGATCATAAGTTAGCGAAGTTAGCCAGTTAACTGTGTCATGAACATCATTTTGTTACAGATGATTATAAAAATGTAGGCTACCCAATAAATAAACCCAGACGGAGATTGTCATAAGCTGATTCAAAAGAGCTGGCTTTTGTGACTCGCTGGCATACCATACGAACTTTCAATAAAGCGAATCGATATTAATACGATACATCTTTTGGTAGGAACGTTCCTAATCATAGTCTTATGATTGTCTTATTGTAAAGCTGAAAATGGTCACTGTTTCTGAAAAAAAAAACCTGGAAGATAAATATATTTTGAATCAAATTGCCTGTACACTGAGGCTGTAAGCTAACAAAACGAACACCATAATATAATTTATTTGATAATGAGATCAATGGCTTGTAAAATACAAATTAACAACTGTCTAGAAAAATGACAGTGGTGTTAGAACATGTTTAATTGAAAAGTAAAAGAGATGAGACAAGATAAAGGAATTATTCCATCTCTAGCTTATAATCTAGATGCTTTGGGAAATCATACTAAATAGTTTTATTCTTCACGTGCAATTTCATTTACACATATATATCAAATACTTAGTCAGTTCTGACTGTCGAATCCCCAGAACCTTTTCTGACATTTGTTTTAATTCAATATTTTTCTGGTTAAACTAAACCAATTCTTTACTGCTATAATTACCTTTCATTTCTTATCTTATATCAATCAAAACTCTTCTTTCGCCAATTTTCTTCTTGATTTGTTATTTAAAATGAGGGATAGGTTTTTCTCAACACAAAATTTATGTTCATCAAAGGTTTCTTATTAACGTATTTACGCCATGTCTTGTCAAGATGGGTGACATATGCGTACGTTAACTAAAACGTACAATAGCATACGATAACTGCTATCAACAACATTTTTGTGAAGATCTCGTGCTCAAAGATACGTTCCTATACGTATCCTATTCCTATCTTTACGAAACAATGTACAATGACCTTAAAAACCTGTCATTTTATGAATACCCGTCTCTTGAGAGATCAAGATGTTCCACAACTATTCATCTTCTTCACGAATATGTGCGTTGTACTGATTTCATACCACCTTAAGCGATAAAATGACACGAAAAAGATTGTAAATAGGATATATAAAAAATCATGTGTATCAGGGACGCTGATAGAGTCAATTTGCGCCATTCCAATTTTCAGTCAACCATTGAATTGACCAACAATAATATTTTGTTCTGTCTTCTGTAAAACGTTTGCTTTACGTTAAGAGTATGAGATATGTACTTGAACTTCAAATGTGGTGGAAGGAGGCGCAAAAGAAACTTAAATTGACGGATATGGTGCCAAGACGGGTATGATTACTCTTCTAGACACATGATACCACTTCTTTATGTTTTGGAATTTGGGTTTCGTTTTGTGGTTCAGATCGTCAGTACTTGGTTTATTTATTTATACTCCACTAACCTAATAATATTCTTCTTGTTATTTTCTGAAGAAAATCTGTTCAACATTCGAAGCCATAATGTAAGAAATTGTCAATGATATGTCTAAACAGATTATTACGGAAGAACAGTGATAGAGGAGATTGTACGAAGTGGTCAGATTGAACTGATAAGGAGGTCTAAAAGTTACAATATAGATCTTTAAATACATATTGATCTTTATTTATTCTTCATTCAAATCATAACTCACACTTCAAGCTAACTTCATTCGCCCAGTGATAATAAAATTTCAGATCTAGGTCGTTTAGTCATTTATTATTATTAAATAATAAATCTAGTACATCTAGAACTCAGTTGTCATGATTATTAGATAGGGAATATAATTTAATCTTGGTGAGTTCTGCAAATTCTTGACCTTCTAATTAGTTTTAATTATGTATCCTTTGGAAGAAACCAGGCTCAATTCATTACATTCATCGTCATAATCCAAAGAAATTCAGAATAAGCTCAATAACCACGATGTCTCCAGTGACACGTGGACATGTTTAGAGAGGAATGTACTTTTCCGATTTCAAAAACCAATTCGCCATTTTCATTCAAAAAGCATTCTAGTGAAATACGAGGCTGTTTACTTTCTAATCTGCGTAAAGAAGCCAAAGGAGTAGTGATTCAAGATTTTGAAGTGGATTTTAAAGCATATCCTACAGCTGATAAATACAAGTATACATTTATGAAACTTTATGAAAATCAAAAGAATTTAATGGGCAACGTGAGATTGAAGACAAATAACTATAAAAAATGAAAGGTTCAACCAATTATACTCGAATCTACATTTACAATAACAGCCTCACTTTCATGTGATAATCTATTTATACCCGTAATGGCATACTGACCACTTCCGGATGCAGTGTACTGTACAGTATTATTATTCAACACTTTCAAAAGATTCCACAAGTCAACCTGTTTCTGATATACACCCCAAGATCTAACATTCCCAGAATTGTCACGATTCCAACTGATTGTATGTCCATTTACTGTTTGACCACTGGGGGCCGGGGCTGGAGGTGATGCCAGCCAGGACATTTCTGGTGACAGAGCTGGAGCTGTATAGAGCTGTGATTGAAACATATCGGCCAAACCCTTGCTATTGTCCCTGAAATACTTAGCACTGAAAAAAACATTCCCTAAACTGAGTTTACTGGTTCTGGCTCTGGACTCTTCAACTTGTCGTCGGATTTCACTCAAAGGCCACCCACCATTTACCACTCGCCCTGCATAGCTTCCGGCATAGAAATGTCTATTTTTAGGATTCTGGTCCAACCACCAATCCATTAGATGTGTATAACTCTGTTGAGGTGGATCTATTCTCCAGTATAATTGAGGATTCATATAATCAACCCATCCCTCCATAAACCACTTTCTGCTGTCTGCATATTGGGCAGAATAAGAAGACAAACCGACAATTCCTGATGGATAACCGGACTTCCAAATTCCAAATGGACTCAAACCAAACTTCACATGATTCTTTGTACTCTTGATTCCATTGTAGATTCTTTGTATTAAGGTATTGACGTTGTTTCTTCTCCAGTCATCTCTGGACAAGTGACCCCCTGAAGATCTATATGCATTGTAGGTATGAGTGTCTGGGAAACTGACACCAGATACAGGGTAAGGATAAAAATAATCATCCATGTGGGCTCCATCTACATCATAACGCCTTACAACATCCATGATGACATTAAAAGCTCTGTCCTGAATAACTTTAGCTCCTGGATCCATGTAAATATTATGACCATATGTATAAGCATACTGTGGATATTCCACAGCCATATGATTCGAGGCTAATCCACTTTTACTTGCACTAGTGTGAGCTCTGTAAGGATTAAACCAGGCATGTACCTCCATATTCCTTTTATGGGCCTCGGTGATAACAAACTGCAGAGGATCGTAGAATGGGGATGGCGCTCTTCCTTGTTGTCCAGTAAGATATTTACTCCATGGTTCAATTGAGGACTGGTACATAGCGTCACCAGCTGAACGTACTTGAAACACGATAGCATTAAAGTTAAGTTGCTGTAGCTTGTTCAAAAGTGTAAGCATCTCATTCCGTTGCTGTTCTGGTGTGTGGTGATTTGATAATGGCCAGTCTATATTGGCCACTGTAGCGATCCATACTGCTCGAAATTCCCTTACAGGCCATTCAGGTCCCGTTGAAGGTATTCCTGCGAATTGAAAATAAAACCCTGAGACGTGCTTGTAAACAAATGATTTTCATAACATTATTTAGAATATACTATAATTGATCCCAAGAAATTTGCTTTTTCCTAACCAAATTTTGCATAATGATATCTTGTCTATGCGAAATAACACACACGCTATGACCTATTGGCACGATGAAATATTGTTTTACATTGATCATTGGAAAATGCCAACATTTGGTCCATATTTTGATATATAATATAAAAATATGGACCGAATGTGTTCTTAAATAACTCAGACAAAGCCTATTGGAAAAACCAACTTAACTTCTTACCCGAAAGTGGATTTAAAAGTTGATAGATATATATGACGGTTAACAACAAGCTGAATAGCATACTTGCTTCTTTTTAAATTAAGTGACTAATGGTCCAGGCCAAACCTATTATCTACCAGATTATGAATGTAGAGCGAAGATAAGATACAATTACGATTATAGTCCAACTTTTTTGAATCTTATCACAATCAATCTACTTCTCTAAACATTTCTGGGATTTGTTTTTTTTATTCACATAGAACAAGGCAGTCTCCAAGTCAACTGACGCAATAAAAATAAATCGTATTATGATAGCAGTACAGAAATCCTTTCAAGTTGTCATCTTTTTTAAACTGTTGTAATTCACTGAGATAAGATCAGGTCGATTGGCGAATGGATAGTTGCAGATGGTTGCAACTTGACAACGGCTACAGTAGTTTTTGTCGACTAGACCAAGAGATTCAGGATACCAACAACTGCTACTAGATGTTAAGGCCCAATTACTCACAGGTTCTGTCATTCTAAAGGTCCATCCTACTCCAGCTAAATACACTTTAAAACTAACTTGATTGTCTCATTTCATAGTTGATGTCCAAACGCTATAACATATTGTATAGTAAAATTACCCAGCCGTAGGTCGACTAATCTTTAAACCATCTTCATTCTCTTATGGTCTTCCTGATAAACGCAAACCATTACCCATGTGTTATCAACTATTGATGTATCTTGGAGCGACATGCGCCAACACAACAAAGGTAATTACAGCAAGTCTGTGGATTCCATGAGTGGCTAAGATAGTGTTTTGATGGGGCGAGTATATTAACTTACCTATCCTACAATGCACCATGCCAGCTGAATCGACTGTCCCTTCGTTCAAGACTAGGTTTACATTCTCAAAGGAGAAAAAAATATTAGCGTTGAGAATAACACAATAAGTTTATTAACAATAGCCTATAATATATAATAACACAATGAAAACATTTAAAAATAACAAGTTGAGATCACCTGATTATTCATTATATTAGAAAATTAACATTGATTAATTAATAACTATTTGTATTCAAAGGGTGTGTCGCATGTACCTCAAAGAAGACAATTTTAACTATCTGCAGAAGTTTTTAAAAGACGCGTCGAACTTCAATTATCTTTTTTACCTCGCAATAAGACGCCAGGCGTAGGCTTCAGGTACGTCTACAATTATTGAAGAATACTCACAGGATCAGGATACAAACAAAAGACGTGCTCGGGAGTTCAGTGCCAGTTAAAACAAAAGAGTGGAAAATCCTAATCAAATTGTAACGACGTCATATCCATATGGAATACCATTTCCTTTCATTTCCTCAAATTGTGAATAAATCAGAAAGCGCCTGTTTAACCAAAATTGAATTATTTAACCTACTTCGTTTCTGAACAATCTTTCCAGTTGTAATCTTAGTCCGAACATGCTGTATCCATCTGGCTTCTGGAGAATTACTTGGAAAACAAAACCTGGTTTTATTGAAATTCCATAGTGTTATTAAATTAACGAAAACTTTCACGACAACTTTCTGAAATTCACATTGTTTATATGGCTTAACATTGTTAATTTAAACTGCAAGAGTTTCCATCACTCCAAATTTGAAGTAAGACAATGGGAAATTAAAAAAACACAGCCTTAGGAAATCAGTGAGTCGTTCAAAATTTAACCAAGTTGTTTTTAACTCTTATATATTGATAACAATTGAAAATCAGAGCCTTGATAAAAATCAGCAAGTTTCGGACTAATGACAATCCATAATACAACTAAATGGCTCACCTTCCTAATTTACATTTATCTTTCCACCAACTCGACAATTTGCATAATGTGTATAATGGTGGCATAGGAAATTAGTATACCTTACAGAAAATAACAGTAATTTTCATCTACATTTTGCTACTTAATAATCAGGTTTGAAATCGTGTTAGGATAAACATAGGATATCTCAATGCAATATTTTGTACTATGTTTTGTTAAGACCATAACCAAATCAACATTTTTTATAAAGGGTATTATTGAGATACGTATGGAAATGATAATTATTTTTCTCTATTGGGTATTTGTTAAAAAGCAGAACCTATAACCAACTTAATGTGACTGAAATGACAAACTGATTGATATAAGTTTATTACATAAAACATTATGCTTTTAACAATTAAGAAGAAAATGTTCTCTAAAAAAATTTGCGTGAAATTTACTCTTTACTTTTTACACTTTATTGCTACAACGAATTCAATATTCAATATTGAATTAAACTGAATTCTCAATTAAATGACAATGGAAAGCAATAATGTAAGTTTAAAAAAAATCCAATTAAACCCGTTATTAGGTGCATATTGCACGTGTCAGTATGTTCTTGAGAAAATTGAAGTAGAGAATTAGTTCAGATGCAATTTTGGAATGTTTAAACATTTAACACAATAGATTTTGATGAGATTAACACATATTAACACAATTAAATATGGACGGATGAAGATTAATACTTTAATATTAATAATATTTAATGATAACAACTGAATTATTCTATATCCATCTGATAATTAATCTGGGTTTGACTGATTTATACAAACACAATTTGTCTTTAGCTGAGCAACTGATACTCAACATGGTTTCAAATTTGATCAACTAAACCATACATAACAAAGTCGGATATTGCATTTGGAAGAAACACTATATCAAACGCCGCATAATACAGAGTGATTTAGTTCAGAGGTAAATTCTAATTTAACTAACAGGTGCGAGGACAACTGTCTTTTTTCACATTATAAATTAAGACCAACATAACATCATGTAATCCGGAAGTAATTTTATAGAGAAGCGATTTACGTCATAGCGTAATCCTTTGTGTTCTGCACCATTTGTGATCTCGATTAAGAATCTAATATAATTAAAAGTCCAATTATTGAATATGTCATAGATTACGGTATGCCGGTATACCAAACATTAATTTACACTTCAAGAATATGGCCTATTGTTATTCAAATTAATCGAAGAATCATCGGTTTTTTTTCGGTCAAAAAAGCATAAAAATTGGGATTCTTTTCGAGAAATTTCCTTTATCGAATCTCTATATAAACGGAGCAATTTAGCACACTTGAATGCAATTTAATTTCAATTATGTTAGAATGAATTGCTCGGGGAGATACGAAAATTGAGATTAACTTTAAGAGCTCTGCCTCAATTCTCCCGAGTATTTAAAATAGAACAATGATCTTTTTGTTCTCATATTCTGATTATTTAATGGACAGGACCATTGAGCATTCTTAAAGAGGACTATTTTACATTTACAATAATCATAATACAATTAAAACGTGCAAAAATTCGTCGTGTATCATTGATATACACATTTTAAAGGATCTGATTTAATAGGACACATTAAATAGCGATTCAACTAGTGGTGGTACAGGGGTGGGGGGGATTTACCCAAAATTCTATCACCACTTCATTTTAAAAAAAATTTAAAATATGGATTCTGTACCCTTTTTTGTCCCAAAAGTTTTCGGTTTTCGTCTATGAGCCTCCACAGAGCAGTCGCATTTTGATTCTCAACCTGGACAGTTGCCCCTCCTCCCACCTCCTCCCCCACGCATTAGCCGACCCCTTATTCCAGGGAGGCTGGCACCGCAACTAGATTCAGATTGTAGTGATAAACCAGGATCGCGTGGATAGTTTCGCTCAAATCACATATGAACTAGTTGATACTAAAACTTTTTTTTTATCCGTATCGATTTTGCAACAGCGAGATCCTTTTCTTATTATGTGGTGTACATGTTATTTTACGTATTCTAGTAACATTATATATTAAGAAGATGTATCAAATAAAATTAACAACAATTTAAATGTAACACAATAAAATTATGACCGAGCTTTCCGTACGTTGAATGTTGAATATTCTTTGTAATTGTCCGTTCTCAAACCAAATTGAGAACACATTCATAACAAAAGTGATTGTACATAATGTCACTATTAATATTGAGTTACATTGTGCAAAACGAAGGCAAGGAGCGGGGCACATCACAAACAGTTAAACCGCCACCTAAGTTATTAAGCAGTTACCTTGAGAGGTGCATCAAGATTTATCTCGTGGTCTAGAGGCATGAGGTTTATGATAGAATAAATACAATAGTCATGTGAATTTAGTTTCGCCATTTTGTTTTGAAGATGGCGTTGTGTAAATAGATGTATTTGATACGTTTGAATTGATCGTACGCATGACACTGGTAAATGGACGACGAACTGCCCTTCGACATAAAATCGTATCAAAGAAGCGACGACGAAATCTTTTACCACTAAGGAAATAAAGATAGAAATTGACGGCGTGGTTACTGTCCGACAAAACAAAAATTATCTGATTGGTCATCACAAATTTGGCATGGTCGTAAGAATTCTTCTGATAGGTCCAATACGGTTTCACAATATAAAACAAACAATTAGGAATAGTAAGCATAACAAAGACAATAGAAACTACGACCAACATGATGGTAATCTGACGCTGCTGACGGAATTTCTCTGCCATCTGGTCTGATTTGCTGTTGGTCAAATCCTTTTGAATTCTTCCAGATCGTCGAATACCAAAGATGATGAGAAAGTTGAAGATAAAGAGTAAAATACATGGTATTATGGCATACAGTGTACCATCAATCCAGTACCAATATAGCGATATAAATGTTTGGTATTCAGCGGCAAATCCACAATCGACGTTACCAGTTTCACTAACATGTTGAGTGGCCGTCCACAAGAACTGGAGATCAGCCAGTAATAAAATAATTGCTATCACACCCATGATGGTTCCGGCTTTCCGTCCATTACAATAGCTTCCTACTTTCAATGGAAACCAAATAGCAACGAATCTCTCAACCGTCATGGCCACAAGAATCCAGTTCACATACATTGAAAAGAAACTTCCAAAATAGTACAAAACTCTACAACCACCAACTCCGATATGAACGTCGTAAAGCGTCAGTTGATGAAACAGCAGTTTATCAATGATAGCTAAGGTATCAACAGCAGCTAGAACAGCAACGTAAGCTGTTGATGAAGTTAAAGGTGGCATTCGCAGTATTGTTATGATGCTCGCCATATTGCCCGGAAATCCTATTGCGAAGATAACCCATAAGTAATAAAGGTTAATGTAGACAGCAGCCCAAAATATCTTAAACTCTTCTAGTGGTCCGTATTCACCATATTTACTTGTAGTTGTTGGTACGGTCGTTGTTGTATTATTATAAATAGCCATGGACCAATCCGTTGTTGTTAAATTAACGTCCATCTTTGAATTCCAATCCACAAACGGCTAACCTCTCCTGCAACGAGAAAAATAATAGGAATTATTAACAAAATTTCAATTAAACTCTGCAAACACTAGATACTCCAGTATGCCCAAGGATATTATACTCTCATGTCTAGAGCGGAAACATGTTAAGGTTTCATGAATTATGAACTGTACTTTCAAGTCCTCATTCAGATCAAACGTAAGTGAGTTTCAACGATGTTTCATGCCCTTTTATACCAAAATCTTATTTCAGACAATCCAAATTGAATTATGTTTAAGATCAAATGGCAGGTCTATGGATTTGTATTCGAGAATATATAATACTAATCCATCAGATGATTTCAGACAGGAGAAAATGGTATCAAAAGGGTGTCAAATTAAGCAACCGTCAGTTATCCATTGTAAACTGTCATTTTTAAGAGATTGACTAACGAATGAATTTAACATTTAAACTTATGGCAAAAAATAACATAAAAATATTGTATTATCTTTTGAATTTTCCTATGATTTCAACTGATCTAAAGGTTTTCAATAACTAAAATATTTTAATTCTGATATGATCCCTTCTTACGCTCCAACTTTGGAAAGTTACTACAAGTTTTTAAGAATGCTGTTAAATTAAGGAATGCTTTAGTCAATTAATAATATATTAAAAGCATCATCATAAAAGTACACGCCCTGAGTTCTCTCGTATTTAAATTGACCCACATACAATCTTACATATGGTTGACAAAATAAAATATACCCCTTGTCATGTATTTTCCGAGATAGAAGCTTTCAAGTAATATGTTCACTTTAAGCCAAGTACAAGAGTTTTAACTGCACTTCAAAATGAATTTATTTGTTACCACACTTCCGACAAAATCTGAAATTTCATTAAAGCTCTCGAACTAAACTCATTTTTGCAATTTACAAGTATAAAAGTTAAAAAACATCTAAAATTGAATATCCTCTTGACTCTACCTTACACTTGATAAAGCTCGTTTAGTTTCCTTTCCTAAGTACGTGAGAGGAATGGAAACTTTCCCTAATGTAATAAGAATGTTTTCAGTGCGAGCGATTGTTACAGTTTTGTTTTTTAAAAGTTTTTGTCTTTCTGATTTACCGTTCTCGTTTATATATTTAACATCATGCATCTATTTGCCGTCAGTGCAAATTTTTCCAAATGTTATAAAACACGTATGAAATAGATAGGCTGCCGCCATGTGTGTCATCTCATGTTTGCAGCATGTGTGTCATCTTATGTTGTCGGCATTTGTCTTATCTCATGTTGCGGCATGTATGTCATCTCATGTTACTGACATGTGTCTTATCTCATCTTGAAGCATGTGTCTCATCTCATGTTGTCGGCATCTGCCTCATCCCATGTTGCGGCATGTGTCTCATCTCATGTTGTCGGCATGTGCCTCATCTCATGTTGCAGCATGTGTCTTATCTCATCTTGCGGCATGTGTCTCATCTCATGTTGTCGGCATGTGCCTCATCTCATGTTGCGGCATGTGTCTCATCTCATGTTGTCGGCATGTGCCTCATCTCATGTTGCAGCATGTGTCTTATCTCATCTTGCGGCATGTGTCTCATCTCATGTTGCGGCATGTGTCTCATCTCATGTTGTCGGCATGTCTTTTAGACATCTGGTTTTGGAAGTGGGTGCTGGATCCCAAATTTGCCCTGGGCGAATTGATTCGACCGTTTATCGGGCTATGATATACAGAGCGCCTCGAAAAGACAAGTTAACAACATCAAGTCCATGGATTCAAACTTAACTTTCTCGATTGTGCTCACTTGAGGTTTAACGCTCAGAGGACTATCGTGTGCTTTAGAATTATTTTTGTGAAGTAATAGATTCTTATGCATCAATAGAATGTACGTATATGTACAAAGGTCTAAGAATTCCTTAGTTATATAGAACATATTGAGAATTATATAAAAATCTGGTTTGAAGATATATACAACATGAAACGCTGTGACACATGTCAATTTCCATCACTAACTATATTGTTTTCAAAGAGGTACATTTAATTTTCTCAAAAATTGATCGTAGTTGTGTTAATCTAATTGTCTTGTTTGTCACATGTGTTAAGAGTAATGACGCAATTCAAGCTCAGAAAGGTGAACAATAGACGTAGTTTAAGGGTACATTTATAATTCTTTATTTTACATATGAAGTTATCCTTGTCCTATTCTATAAAAACATGTTGAAATATATTACAGTAATGGATTTGAAGCCAGTTTCATCTGTTCTCTACGACGCGATATAGTTTTTCAATGGAGGGCAAAGCAGGATTTCACAAACATGTTGTTGTGGACCCTTTTACAGTTTTATGTGTGACAATATACATATAGCTTATATTTTCTCTGTCTTAAATAAAATAAGTTTAGATAAATACGCCGATCTACGAACTAGCTATTATTACATTATGTTTTTCAGAAACTTAAGTGAGTGAAAGTGATAGCGAAGTAGATCCTAATGTTATTCTCCTACACAAATCGAATCAACTTGTTTTTTTTTTCTGACAAGGCAATCTCGATTCACCTACTTCTTTGTTATAGATTGAGTCATTTAGACCCATTATTTTACAGGATTCTTAAGACATTCATATCCATGGAGTGATCAGAAATCTTTTGAGCTGTAATGGTATCAAGCTGTGTATTTCGTCTGTGTTCTATCCAATCTCATACGCAGGTATCCGTGTCCGTTCACCGAAACGGGTTCGCCCCTGTACATTTTCACCCTTTTTCATGTTTCATGCCTTTTAAGAGTTCGTTCACCTTTTACAGGTGATCAAAAGCTTTTATTTGTATCAAGCTTACTCTTTAACCTCCCCCCTGTGCTTGATCTCATCTCATACTTGCCGATCTGGTCTCCGATGTTTAGACTTACACAAGAGAAAATTAAAGCACAAGTTTACAAGGTTATCGGCGATATTTTCGAACATACTGTGTCAAAATAATCACGAGAAAAGCAGAATGGTCTGAAACTACAAAAAAACAAACCTAGCAGCTTGATTTAACATTTGTATAGGTCTTCCGTGATAAAAGATGGTTAGTGGCTTAGCCTTAATTGATTTTAGAAGATACACTGAAAGTTATATTATTTAAATCGAATGTAGCGATCTTTCTGCTTCAATCTATTAAAAGGTATTTTCAAACTTGAATGTTTGAATCTGGGCTTTCTTTTGAATAAACATTAAAGCTGTAGAGCTATACACTGAAAGATATCTTAGTTCAATATGTCAGTGAATTATCAGTGCCCGTAATTACAAAAAGTCTATAAAATACACCACCCACTACTACTCTTTTATAAAAAAAAAACCACATTTATGACCAGATAGTAATGAAATGTATTAAGAAAGTCTATATATCAGCTCTTTCATATCTTCTTCTCGTGTTCAAATTAGAGAGTTTCTTGCAATATTTTATTAACTTTTATTTATTGTCCCCTGTAGCTACCGACCTGATACAAACAGCATAATGTGTCCAGGCTATGACTACCAAGATTCAATATAATAGTCCAGTAAAGATAATTTGCACATTTCATGTTTTAGGGGAGGAATAAATAGTAATAGATAGAAACTACAACAATAAAATATTTTCACTTTTAAAATAGTGTAGAGCGATACAGATAGAGACTAAAAATTAAACTGTTTTGATTACTACTGAAAATACCTAAGAATAAAATGTACTAGTGGTGTTTATCTTATCAATGAGCAAAACATCTTCGTTCGACATTATCTAGCTTCTATTTCTTTAGTATTGTTTGCGTAAATTTGTTACTGGACGCAATAAGATTCACAGGAAAACAAATTTCAGAAATAGGTTCTATTCAAATAGCAGTTGAGAGTTTCGTATTTATCTGGATTATCGGCTGTGGATGACAATGACAAATGTTGAAGAAAAAGACCCGGTCTGCATGAGCTTTGGATTAAGGTTGACAAACAGCAAGGGTTCCTAATCAACACGCCAACACATATTTATGTTTATCTAATCAATGGAAAAAGATTTTGAAAATAATCCCACGTTCATGTTTTTCTAAATGTTCGTAGATTATACGATATTTGAGACTCGCATGCGACTTTTAACTGAAAAGATTCAAAAATACACCATTTAATTGTTGTAGTCAAGCTTATTCTAAAACTTGTCAATGAAAAGTGACTATAACGAAATTCATTTAAATTTGAAATAACAGAAGGCATACACGCGTTCCGCACGATCTTTGGATTTTTCTAAAAGGTTTTCCTTTGAGTGTTAATTAAAATTATAATAAAGCTGTCAAATGGCTTATAAATTCTCTCCGGTATTGCTAAACCACCTCATAATTGACATCATCAGTAATCCTTCATCATGACGACAACTTCTCCCACTCCCAATAAGAGAATCCCATCCCGACGTGCAGGGTAACATGCCATTAATATTGTTCATTGTATTTATTTTCGTCATTTAGAAAGCTGTCAATTCAGTTTGCCAATGATTAGATTAAAGCATGACACGGGTCACCATTGTCTACATACCCTTTAATGGTTCTGGATTTTGCCATTTTTGCATGTTTAATGTTTCCAGCGATATTAGTAAAGGGCATAGTTGTTCATTAAGACACACATTAATTTGATCACAACATGATCAGTTGAATTGACGTTAAGTTCAAAGTGGAATTAACCTCAGAAAATCCTGGCATTTGAAACGGAATAAGAAATCATTGACATTCCTCACATTAATTGACATGAAATAATTTTGCTTGTGATATTCAATTATGATTTCTAGAAGAGGTGGTTGAAGGTTTCTCAATATACATTAACCTTGGAAGTTCCTTGTACGCCATTTAGAAATTAAATACCAACCTGCCAAAATTGAAACATGGTTATAAGAAATATTCTACATTACAGGAAAAACCTCACAACTGTTATACTAACGAGAAGTTAATTCGTACAAATTGCACGTTTAACGTTACATTTGCGGTAGTTCAGCCAGTTAACGAACGTTTGAGGTACTTTACTTTC